TTGAGGGAGGCTGACCCGAGATTTTTTGGATTGCTCCCATGCCTCCCACTCCATGTTTCTTTGCTTTTTCTTTTCCTTTTGGTCTTCCCGCTTGCTACCGCTAGCGCTTGCACTAGTGGTGCTAATATTCTTGACCATCAAGATATCGATCTTGACGGTGCATCTTGTGTTAATTATTTTTCCTTTATGTGGTGCCACCGTTTCCTCTTGAGACCTTCATATGTCCCCGCCACTTTCCCGTCGATGGTCCTCGACACTTAGTCCCGCCGGTGGTCCCCGACACTCAGTCCCGCCGGTGGTCCCCGACACTTAGTCTCGCTGGTGGGCCCCGACACCGAGTCCCGCCGGTGGTCCCCGACACTTTTTATCCCGGATATCATTATTTTTACTTAGTCTCACGTGGTCCCTAGTGCCTTTCCCCTAGGTGTCTCACGTCCCTTGGGTGTTTGCCGTCCCACGATGACCCCCTCTTACTCGTCTTTCTTGCGCCTTGCACACGCTATTTCTCTCCAGCCGCGGGGCCTTCACCCTGAGGCTCCCGTAGGTGACCCCTTTGTTGGCCCTTTTTCTCTAGCTTCCCACAGCCTCCGGGGGCGTCCATTTATCGACTTTCTCATTCTTTTGTCGCTGTCGTGCCGCGTTTGCCGGTTCAATGGCCCCTTGGCCTTAGTCTTGTTGAATTCCAATGACCCTCCTGGCCTCATGCTATGTTCTATGCGCCCCTGTTCTTGCGCTTACTTGCTTGTCGTCGCTGCTTCTTTCCTCCTGTGGTTCTCACCCCAGGGCATCACTCCCTCCTGCGGCCTAATCCTTTGTTTTTTTTCTCTCTTTCCTCCTTACTCCAAATTTCTCTATTGTGCACAATCTGGCTATACACAGTCTCTCGAGTGACGGGATGTTATTCGGGACCCACCAGTCCCGACACATTCCCCCCACTCATTCACGATGTCCTCATCGCGCACCAATCTTCTGTCAGTGGGGGTTTGGAGGCATAGACGGGGGAGGAGGGCAAAATGTCATAGGTGATTAGTTTGTCAGGGTCCGTTTTTTCTTTTCATGTTCCTTTCTCGAATTTCTTCTAGTCTCCGATCCTCGGAGCGGGGAAGGGGTGTATAGGATTCAAGCTTTATTTGTCTTTCAGGCATCTCATGTCTCATTCATCATTCTCAGAACATCAGATCTCTTTCGTCTCGTTCATCACTTTTAGAACATCAAACCCCTTTTGTCTCGTTCATCACCCTTGGAACATCAAATTTCTTTTGTCTCATTCATCACCCGTAATACATCAGATCTCTTTCGTTCCGTTCATCACCCTCAGAGCATCAGATCTCTTTCGTCTCGTTCATCATCCTCAGAACATCACCCATAGTTCATCAAGCCTCCTTCCAACTTTCCTCTTCTCGCTGCCCCTGCTTCTCCCCCGAGCCTTGCCATCCCAAGCGCCCCTTTGGCCGATCCTCCTACCATCTTGTGCCACCCAGGTCCCTTTTCCGACTTTCTTCACCCTTAATGCCTCTTCTACTTGGCTCTTCTGCCCGCGCAATCCGTGTCGCCCGTCACCCTTTCCTCAATCTCAAGGTCAACAAAATTCACACGTATTTCTTCTGGGACATTCTGCTCGGTTTTTCTCTAGTCCTTCCTTTTTCACATGCATGTCTCCCTCACTCGACCTTGCTTGTACCAAAGCTCAATCAGTTTGCATGCTTGTTACCCAGTCCATTTCGTATGCCTTTTTGCTCCTGGTGATTCTGCCAGTCCTTTCTCAAGCCTACGCAAAGTCAATTACAAATGCCTTTTTCTTCTGGGCATCTTGCCAGGCTTTTCTCAAGCCCATGTAAAGTCAATTACACATGTCTTTTTCCTCTGGCCATCTTGCCAGACCTTTCTCAAGCCCATGCAAAGTCAATTACACATGTCTTTCTCTTCTGGACATCTTGCCAGACCTTTCTCAAGCACATGCAAA